GTAAGCAAACAAATAGTTGGAATCCTTTAAGCTTGTTGAAAAAAAAGAGTGAGTCGTTTGGCCTGTAATCTCGTGTGTCTGCTGTGTGTTTGATTCTTATCCATATTATGTTCGACTTATTGTTTTTGTGAGTGATTATGTGAGTTTGACAGATAAAGATCTCAGTGTCGTTACAAGAAAAAAAATTGAGCGAAATTTGACCCCTATGACAGTTGGTATTAGAGCTAAAGTTTTCGATCATAGCTGGTGAAAATACTGAGAAGTTACGTGAACGTGTGACCCGTCTGAAAGATTTTCTGAGCGCCCCTCAAGGTGATGTTGTAACCGTCGTGTCTATGCATATAGAATAACATGCTATCCAAATTGCTTGTTTGAGGATGGATTTCGACAACTACGTGACAGACACCATTGCTAAGATTGCAACGATGATGGAGGATGTTATGTCCCTCACGGATGCTGTCAAGACCAATCTGAAGGATCTTGAAGGCAAGTTGACCCTTGTAAAGAGAGCCATGCATTCTCGACCTATTGTGGGGGAGACATTTCCAAGATCAAAGTCCTTGAACCTAAGGCCTACGANCTGTCAAGACCAATCTGAAGGATCTTGAAGGCAAGTTGACCCTTGTAAAGAGAGCCATGCATTCTTGACCTATTGTGGGGGAGACATTTCCAAGATCAAAGTCCTTGAACCTAAGGCCTACGATAATACGCGGAGTGCCAAGGATTTGGGAAACTTTGTGTAGGACATGGGGCAGTGCTTTAAAACTGCTCATGTGCTTATAGGAGAGAGTTACCATTGCCAACATGTATCTTTCTGAGGATGTTAAACTCTAGTGGCAGACTAGAAATGAGGACGATGTTAGCACGGGACGACCTAAAATCAAGACATGGAATATACTGAAGGAGTTAAAGGATCAATTCCTGTCTAACAGCACTACATGGATTGCTAGGAACTTGCTTCAAAATTTGAAGCATACTAGCACTGTTCGAGATAACGTGAAGGATTTTAGTTCTTTGATGTTGGATATTAAGAATATGTTTGAGGAAGACAAACTCTTCAATTTCATGTTCAGGTTGAAAGGATGGGTACAGGCTAAGTTGCGTAGGCCATCGCTACAGCGGATGGCCTCTGTTGACTTCAAGATGGGTAGTCCAAGTCCTTCTAAAAAGAAGAAGAAAGATGGTGGTGGCAAAAAAAACATGGTTGACACTTTCAAGTACACGAAAAAGGTGGACCAAAAGAAGACAAATAATAGCGGTGACTCTAAAATGCCAAACAACAGACAGAAAAAGAATTTCGATTCTAATTAATTTCTCTGCAATGGCCCTCATCTTGTCAAAGATTGCCCCAAGTTGAAGAAGTTAAGCACCCTCGTTGCTGAAAATGGTAATGCCAGTGATGACGCGAACCTTACTCATGTAAATCCTCCGTAGTTGTTGAACGCTATCATGGTGGAAAATGTTCTGCATCCCCAAAAATGCCTAATNTTGAAGAAGTTAAGCACCCTCGTTGCTGAAAATGGTAATGCCAGTGATGACGCAAACCTTACTCATGTAAATCCTCTGTAGTTGTTGAACGCTATCATGGTGGAAAATGTTCTGCATCCCCAAAAATGCCTAATGTTTGTGCATGCTCGGATTAGCAATGGCTAGATCTAGATGGATGAAAGGAAAGGAAAGGCAATCGTCGATTGGTCTGTACCAACTAAGGTCCTTGAACTGTGGTCTTTCCTTGATTTAGCCAACTATTATCGCAAATTCATTCGGGGCTTGAATAATAAGAGCAACGCTCTGATTGATTTGCTCAAAAAGGACCAGAAGTGGGACTTGAATGATGAATATCAAACAGCTTTTGAGAAGCTGAAGCATGCAATGTCTTCTAAACCGGTGCTGAAACTGCACAGTGATGCCTCTGACCGTGCCATTGGAGGAGTCCTCGATCAGGAAGGGTACCCTATTACCTTTGAAAGTGGAAAGCTGAAAAATGTAGAGCAATACTACTCACACAAGAAGGAATAACTGCTATGGTGCATTACCTTGAATTTAGAGTTACTACTTGTTAGGAACGAAGTTCACTGTTGTGACGGACAATGTGGCGAACACTTATTTCAAGTCCCATAAGAAGCTAACTCCAAAGCAAGCCTAGTGGCAGGAGTTTCTTGCTGAGTTCGATTTTGTATGAGTTAATAGGCCCAGAACGCAAAACTAAGTTGCTGACGCATTCCACAGGAAAAAGGTCCATGACTATGTTGTCGCACTTTCCATTGTACAAACTGACTTCCTTGAAAGAGTCAAAGAGTAGGCCCAAACTGATGTTGTTTACAGCAAACTGAAGCAACAAGTCAGTGAGGGTTTAGCTGATATATATTGGTTGGAAGATGACCCACTCTATGCCAAGGGAGGCAAACTCTATATCCCAGTGGGGGGAAACTAAGGCGAGAGTTGCGGTAGGAAATACACGACTCCCAATGAACTGGACATCCAAGATTCGAGGGGAAGCTTAAATATTTGTCTCGCTCCTACTGCTGGCCTAAGATGGAAGATGATATTGAGACATATGTTAGGACTTGTCTAGTTTACCAACTTGAAAAGGTTGAGAAGAAGAATGTCATGGGTTTGCTGCAGCCCCTACCCACTCCGGACAAACCATGGCAGTTTGCCTCGATGGACTTCATATGAAACCTGTCAAAGGTTAATGGCATGCGCTTGATTATGATGGTGGTCGATAACTTCTTCAAATATGCAATGTTTATTCCTACACCCCATGCTTGCCCGACAAATGTTGCTGCAGAACTGTTTTATAAGTACGTGGTGAAGTATTTTGGCTTACCGAAAAATATATAGTCAAATTGAACAGATTAATGCCTTGCTGGAGGATTATCTACGACACTATGTCACTGCAAGTTAGAAAAATTGAGTGGAGTATGTTGCTATTGCTCAATTTTGCTACAACTTATACAGGTATTTTGCTACAGGAATGAGTCCTTATGAATTGACCATGGAACACCGGCCACTTACTCAATGGTGTAAGCCCCATGCATGGCTAAGGAAGGCAACACATGCATGGATATGTTTGGCACAAGCAAACAAGCAAGGCTAGCCAATGGGCTTCAATTGTGGTGCATTGCAAGTTTCGAAGACCAAGCCATGGGCTGGGTATGACTTGGCACGCACACAAGGGAAATCAGGTGTTGTGGACTCACAAAGAAGGTCGGTGCAGATCATGTGCAGCTGTTATGAGTAGTTGATGGCATGTACACCTCCAGTGACGCAGTTCTGTACCGTTGCTGGCATGTACACAACATGAGGAGCAATTCCAAGCAGTTGTTGGCATATACACAACATGCAAGGTGGTTATAAGCAATTACCGGCTGAGTCAAGCAGCAATTACAACTGCTTAGCCATGTTCAACATATTCTAGGGGGAGAGTGGCAAAACCACCCAACCATGTTCAGCACATTGTGGGAAATGACAGAACCATCCATAATCCTTGAGGGCAAATTTGATTGGTGCTCGCAACCCTAGTAGTTCAGGATGTCAACGACATGGCTGAGTCGGCCAAAGCTAGTTCATGCTAGCATCGCCTAGGCAGTTGTGCTTGAAACCACCATTATATGCTTTATATACACATGTTGGGGTCTGTAGCAACACAAGAGAGTTTGTGCACGTTTTATGGGCAAACCCATAGCTGGAATTCTTTAAGCTTGTTGAGAAAAAAAAAAGTTGGGTCGTTTGGCATTTAATCTCGTGTGCCTATTGTGTTTTGATTCTTACCCATATTATGTTCAACATATTGTTTCTATGAGAAATTGTATGAGTTTAACTAAGACTGAATGTCAGATCTCAATGCCATCACAAGGTAAAAATGCAAGTGAAATTTGACCCCCGTGACACCTATTTATTACCTCTATTAAGCTGAATGATAGTAGCTACATGTCATTGTCTCGTTCTGTTGAAGTTTTTTTGACTGCAAAACATAAAGTAGAATCTCTTACAAATGATAGGCCCAATGAATCTGATGTCAAGCTTAAACAGTGGAATATGGAGAATGCACAAATGATGACTTTATTATGGAATAATATGGAACCTCAAATTAGCATTCATCTCATGTTTCTTGAAACTGCTAAGGATGTATGGTTTGTAGTTAGTCAATTATTCCTAGAAAAGGATAATATTACCAAAATTTATAGTTGTTTCATGATCTGTTTAATTTAAAGTAGGGTCATAAAAGCATTATAGAGTACTATTCTGCTCTTAAAAATATTATGAATAATCTTAATGCTTATCAGCGCCTTTCTAATGATATGAAAATCTAGAAAAAAATAGTGAGGAGTTGATGATTGTTCGTTTCTTCTCAGGTTTAAAATCAAAATTGGAACCTGTTCGTGCTCAANCAAAATATTATGAATAATCTTAATGCTTATCAGCGCCTTTCTAATGATATGAAAATCTAGAAAAAAATAGTGTGAGGAGTTAATGATTGTTCGTTTCTTCTCAGGTTTAAAATCAAAATTGGAACCTGTTCGTGCTCAAATTTTGGTTAGTAAGGAAATTCATTCAATGCCAAAAGTTTTTCTCGTTTTCAACGGTTTCCTTCGGTGATAGTGGTGTTTCTATCCCTTAAACAATTTTTCTCGTGATACTTTTGTTCGTGGTGGAAGAAAAAAATGGGCTGGTCGGCGAGAAGGTGGTCTTTGACAAGTGGATAGTTGTGGTGGTAGAGGTCATAGATCTATGAAATTATGTACTGATTGTGGACTTAAAGGTAGATTATTGTTGGGATCTACATGGCAAACCCTCATTTTACGCTCATGTTGTGTCTTCATTAGATGAGTTGGGTTTGGGCCAATCTGGTATTAGTGAACCTCCATCCACATCAAAGACTGTATATAAGGATAAAAAACCTAAACTAGCAGTCTTGGATGATCATATCTTAGTCCATAGAACCAGAAAATATCCAAAGCAAGGATAAGAACAAACTATGCACTGTTGTAATTTAATTATGATTTCTCCACCATGACAAAAATCAACCACAGAACAAAAAGCATTATCATCCTCCTTCAAATGTAAAACCCATTAGACTTGAACAGAAATTTCACATCACCCAACATGAGTAAGAAAATAGCGGAAACAAAAGGAGGGTAATTGAACTAACCTTGTACCAGGATCAACCTCCTTTAGAAGTGAATTATTAAAAACAATCACCTCTGAAACCGGGGTCTTTAATGCATTTTCCTGATCCGCCAAACACCCATCTGCGGACAAGAATGCTACAATATCGAGTGAATTGAGAATTCCCACAAACCTCTTTTGCCTCGTTTCAGCATTTTCAATCACACTCTTCTGTGATCTCTTCTTCCAGACAGGTATCCCACCTTCTGTGGACTCCCCGATCGCCCGGATTGCGGCCTCCACCGTCTCTGTTTCTGCAAACTCCACCAGTTCTGGCTTCCCCACAGTTAGATCTCCCACCACATGGTATAAGAACACCGATGCCATGTTTCTCAGCACAATCTCGATATTATGTCGTTTTTTTTTTCTGAGGTTTTCTTGGATTTTATCGGGCAGCAAAGAGGGTGGACTGTCGCAGCAATAAGAGGAAGAGAAAGAGTACTGGTACGAGGTAGACACGGGTAATGAGTATATCAGTAATGCGTGTTTTATAACTCAATCGGAGTGAAAAATCATCCTGTTCTCTGCAATTTTCTCAGGTATTCTCTGGTATGAAACAGAGCGGAACTCCAGTGGGATACAAAAGGGAGTGGAGGAAGACAAAGCGGAGGGAAAAATGGGTAATGGGTACTTGTGAAGGTCGGAGAATAGGAAATGCGTTCACAAATTGAACTGACGGGTTGCTTACTTTCTGCGATTTTCTTTGAAACCAACCAGAGAGGAGTTGATGAGCTATAAGAGGAAAGGAAGGAAGATGATGAGAAGGTGAAAACAAATGAGGGGTACTCTGTGGGTGGCAGTTAAACAACTGATAAATGGGTGTGGTTAAGTGGTAGTGTGAAAGAGAATTGGTCATGGAGTATTATCACGATCAAAGCCCATATAAGGTGGTGTTTTAAAAATAGGTATCTCTGTCTGTGAAGTCCGTTTCTAAAGGAGCGTAATGAGGGACCGTCAGTTGGGTTAGATCTAATTCAACACAACATAAAGACAGAGAGAGCATTGAACGAATTGAGACAGAGAGATCATTGGACTAATTGAAATAGTTGGTAAGGAAAAAGGAGATCACAATAAGATTCTCTCTTTTACATTTTAAATTAACTCGCTATGTGTAACGCCCCAAAAACCCCCTTGGGTGACATTACATTCTAAAAATCATTCANCGCTATGCCAATTCGATGCATCTTATTTGTAATCGCTCTTAACACAGTTTTACTACCTCTACCACATTTCTAATCACTCTTAACACAATTTTACTATTTCTACCATCACTGCCTCAACTACTATCACCCTCTATTGCCACTCCTCATCCTATTCCAACCCTAGTATTTATAAAAAATTACTCATTATTTTGTTACACATAAGTCATATAAACTAATTTAATTTGATGAGATTAATATATTGTTATTAAATTATTTAAAATTAAATAAATCTAATACTTTATGAGGGAAAGTTTCCTAAGCACTCTGTCTCATAAATTGATTATTATAGTATGTAGTAAATATAGATTTAGAATAGTTAGAGTACGTGTGTGTTTGAGAGAGAGAAAGAGATGGGAAAAGGAGAGATGATGGGAGAAAAATTTTAAGAATTATTCTATTAATTAGGAATTAAGCTATTTAAAAAGGTCAATGATATAGAGCCAAATCAAATTTGAAAAGTTTAATAATAAAAAAATTCAAGAAAATTGGGATGGGTTTTGGAGCTCATTCAAACCAACGTCATTATTGCTATATATTGTGTATAGATTTTCACTCAATAATTGATTACATATTATTAATTTAGGTAGGGCTTATTATTTTATAAGTGGGCCTTCACTCGTGCAGGCTCAAGATCCTAGGTTATAACAGCATATGCGTAGTTGACTAAAACGACGTTGTTTTGTCAAATAAAATGACTTCGCTTTCAAATAAAATGACGTCATTTAATCAACAATACATCTATTGTCAGTTTTTAAAAGCAGAAGAGCGAGCCCCCTACCCATAAATGTGAGTGATTCACCATTGAATGAAATTTAGTGAAAATATAATCAAGAAGATCTAAATCCCAATATTTTTGTTAAGAATATTATAAATAATGCGGAATGGTTGTCCCTTACGATTAAATACCTGAGAATGAGACACTACCTAGAGGGGGGAGTGAATATGTTATTCTAGTTTTAAACTTAAAAAAAACACCAATTTTAACCTATGTCTATCACAATTAACTCTTCACAAATTAATTAAACAACTAAGTATAAGAATCCTTTTTACCAAGAACAACCAAAACAAGCCATGTAGATTTGATGTAATGAATATGTCAATTTGTCGATTAACACTCAATCTCACTTGGCTATCCCAACCAAGACAACGACAAACCAAAATCACTATTAATGATTTGAAAGCTAAACACTCAAAATATCAAACACATAGTACGACTAAGTGCATCAATATCAAGTGTATAAACAAATAGGCAATAAAGAGACACAAATAATTGTTGATGCGAAAACCCAACCAAGAAAAACTTTGAGGAACAACTCGAAGTTCACCAAAGCCTAATCCACTATCCCAAGATCGACCTACAAGTACTCAAGTCTTATACCTCAACTAATATCATGGTTATACGCTCCTTTCTTTCAATAGATCTATCCACTGAAAGTCCCTACTTGACGTTTTAAATAGCTTTACTTGAACTCTCCGCTGCAATGGATTGTTTAGGCCGCAATCAATCTTCTCCACCAAAATCCTCAAATGCACACATCTTTAATAGGTTTTGGTTGATCTCCACACTAGATCATCTTCTCCTATATGTGAAGTTGGATTACAGTCTCAATATGGATTTGCCTTAGTCACTGTGGTTGGTTCATAAGATCTCATGGTATTTGGTAGATAGAATTCTCCCTCAAGAGGCATCTAGAGCCTTACCCTAAAATGAGAAGCTTTTCCTCTATTTATAGGCTCATAATAGTGTTTACCTTGGGACCAAGTAAACCAAAGTTCACGGATGATTGCTCGAGTAGTGGGAGAGTGGTTGTTACTGGACTGAAAAAAGGATTCAAACCAGAATCATAGGCAGGAACCTCTCGAACGATACTTAGAGGGTGGTCTCCTTTACCCAACTTGTCATCTTTTCCCGATTTTATCCCTAAGTATTCAGAGACCGCTCTAGCTAAAGGCAAGTGAGCANCAAAGTTCACGGATGATTGCTCGAGTAGTGGGAGAGTGGTTGTTACTGGACTGAAAAAAGGATTCAAACTAGAATCATAGGCAGGAACCTCTCGAACGACACTTAGAGGGTGGTCTCCTTTACCCGACTTGTCATCTTTTCCCGATTTTATTTCCCGATTTTATCCCTAAGTATTCAGAGACCGCTCTAGCTAAAGGCAAGTGAGCAGAGGGTGGTCGCTATTAGTTTTTAAGGTGAAAACCAAGTAAAAACTTGTCCCCTTGAACACTAAAGGGTGTTGCTCAACTGTGGTCTGATAAATAACTCAAACTAAAATTTCAAAAACACATTTAAGGTTTAGAAAATATTTTCATTAGACAACCTTAGGAGTTAATTTCGGATATTCCAAATTCCATTTAGAACATTAATCATCCTAAGTCTAATGAATTAAACCAATGGTTCTTAGATCTCTACGGTTAATACCAACACTTGAAGGTGCATTGGAGTGATCTCGATATGGCATTGTAGCTTGATCTTATTTCTTTCCTTGTTGCTTACGAATCTTGATCTTTGAAGCTTGATGATTGATTAACCATCAAAAGTGTTATTTTATTATATTTAATAATGGTTAATTGCATAATATTTGAGATAAAAATGTATTAGATTCCCAAATTTTCTAGCTTGATACTTATTATAGGTGTTTGACTTATTTTGATAATGAACAATTCAAGTGGAGAAAACACTAGATGAAGGGTTAAAGTTGAACAAAGGATGATTTAACAAATAATTGAGAGTTTTGGCATTGATTTAGAGCTAGCCAAACACATAATGGCCGACACTCCCCATTTGCTAGGTTGATGAAAAACGAGATGGACAAACAATTTCTAGAAAGCTGGCACTGTCTGGATGCCACTAACACCATCCAGATGCAAGTATGATTATGACTAATGAGCCTGACGATGCGTAGGTGCGTCTAGACGAACCTATCACCGTCCAGACACACCAACAAAGTAATTCCAGAGAGTTATCATTTTTGGATGTCGTAAGAACCATCCGAACGCACCTATAAAGATCATTCCAGTGAGTTTGGATTATCTAATGTGCGAAATTTGACCTAAAAAGACTCATGTGTGGAAAGAACTTGTTCTACAGTCCCCCTAGTCACCCTTGTATAAATATAGGTTCTTTCATTAGAGAGAGTATCATCATCCTAAATCACATATTTTAGATTTTAGTTTATTTTTTTTGAGATCTATCAATGGCTAGTGAGTAGTTTCCTTTATGCCCTTTTAGCATAGGGAATGGATTTTGTGAGTGTCTATTCAAATATTTATATTATGCAATTCTTTTCTTGAATTTAATGTTAATTCTTTAGTTTTTTCCAAGATTGATTGAATGTTTTAGAAAAGTTTTATAATCTATATAATTGTTTGATTGTCTATTAACAAGATTGATATCTTGGTATACTCAATTCTTATGATTCCCTACGAGGTTTATAAAACTAGTTCTTTTTTTGAACAAAATAAAACTAGTTCTCAAAATTCTTTTTTCATATCAATCAAATTAATTGTGTTCGAAGTTATATTTTTTGATTGACTACACTAGTGTTAAAAATCAACTGAGATAATTGCGAATTGCATAAATATAATTATTCAATGAACATGAACAAATTTATATCTTGAAGCTAAAGGATTATTTTTCCTATAATTATTTCTTTTAAATTTTACCAACAATCATTCTTCAACTAATTCAGTTATTTTCAAGAAATCTTTATTCTTCCTTTACATTATTCTTGAATTCTCTTTAATTCCTATAGTTCAACATTGGATTTACCGAGTATTTACTACTTCTTGAGCTCTTGTCTAAGCAAGCGAGACTTTATCCATTAGACTTTCCATTTAAAGCTTGACTTGTAGCGCAATTCCACTTTAGATCTTGTGAGCTTAGTTTATGAATCCCCAATAGGTGGTGGTATCATCACACCTTTCTCAAATGAACCATACATGACACTATTGTTTCATATGGCTCCATCCCAGAAGTAGGACCTCCCATTTCCTTTGATCAACGGGTCCTCAAATCATCTACACTTGCATTTGAGACTTGGAGGTTAGTAGGATTTTTCTATGATGCTCTCCCCATTTCATCATGTAAGTTTGTTGAGATGACGTCTCAAAGAGAGTTTCTAGGTAAAAGCCCCAGATGAGGCCTTTGATTACTTTGACATCTTAGCTGAGAGTGCCCAGATGTGGGCCTCGGTTCCATTGACCCAAGTAAAGTCTAGAGTCTCCATTTCCCAAGGGGAAATTATGCCTTAAAATAAGAGGATAATCTCAAGGCCAAAATGGCTGCCTTGTCTCAAAAGTTAGTGGCATTGGAGATGGGAAAGGTCAACAAGATGTCTGGTAGTTACTCTCGTAGAGCAGGTGTGTGAAATATGTGTTTTGTCTGAACATCCCATGGGGGAATGCTCTATCATACCAGCCTTCAAGGTGGTCTTATTCAAGTAATCGAATGCAATCTCCAGATTTAATAAGCCATACTCCAATCCCTACTTTGAGAATATAATCCAGGGTAGAAAAACCACCCAAACTTTGTCAATTACCATAGTAGGGTCTCCCACAATACCCACCTTATCAGCCAACATAGAAAAAGTGTATCAAAGACACTTTGAACTAGTTCATGCAAGGCTAGATATAGTTCAATAC